GTCTTTAAATGTAGTAAATATAGCGGCATATTTAAATGGGTTTTAATGCACCAAACTCCCTCGTGAAATATAAATTCGGCGCATTAGCCTTCTTTTGATTTAAAAAATGCATCAAACACCATGTGTTATCATTAATCATGCGCCAAACCCTCTCCAAGAACAAATTTAATTTCAAAAAAGAAGAAAAATGATTAGTTTTTTGTACGGAGTATAATTTAGAAATTTTGACAAAGCTACTTGCATATTCAACCATATTATTAAAAAAATTGATTTCGAAATTGTAAAGTTTGTTCTTGAAGGGGATTTTGCGCATGATTAATTGAAATACATGGGAGTTTGACATTTTTTTTAAATCACATGGGGTTAATGCGTCGAATTTATATTTCACGGGGATTTGATGCATTTATGTAAAACAAGACTGGTCTTGTTTGAAAATGAATGTCTTGTTTCTCTCTTTGTCAAGGAATATGCGGTCCATAGAATCCATACTATATCAATTTATTACATTCAAATTTCAATCACAACTTTTACTTTACAACCATTTTATTAATAATTGTGTCAAATTAAAGAAGACATTCATATATAGGATGAAAGTAGTATAGAATCGTGGAAAATGAAGATAAGTGTCATTATTTTTGCCTTATATTTAAGCCAAATCTTGACCAAATATTTCACATAAGTTTTATAATCTATTTTAAAAAGAGACAAACGTAAGCTAAAATTAAGATTACGAGGTTGTCAACATATCGTTTAAGACTGGTTCGATTGATTTTTGTAAGTAAACTCATTTATATGATACCTTATTGATTACTTCCTCCGGTTCTTATTAAATTTCCCACTTTCCTTTTTGGGATGTCCCTAATTTAAATTCACACTTTCATTTTAGGAAACAAAACAATGCAAAACAGTGCCAAACAGTGCTCAAACAGTGTCAAACAGTGCACTCCACAGTAAAGTCAAATTCATTTTCTTAATATGTGTGAAGTCAAACTGGGAACTTAAATAAGAAGGCAGTACATGATTCAAAATAACAAAGCACCTAATTTGTCTTTTTTTGTTTATCTGGCACCGTTGAGACGGTGGTAACCAAATGCTGGCCAATCAGAATATGTGGGTGTCAGTTTTGAGAAGGAAGGACAGGGCATTTTGGAGATGACGTTAACCAAACACTCTCCAATCGTCTGGGTTCCTTTACACTAGGGCCCAACACTGTGTCTCTCTTCCACTTCCTACCCACCATTTTCTGGTATTCTGGTAAGTGGACCACGCCCCATTTGTCCAGAGATACTGCTCTTCGAGGGTTGGCATGGCCATGGCGGCTTTTCCGCGTCGATGGAATTTCTTTGGTGTGTTAAATACTAGCTTCGTTTCTGCTTCATCGACGCACTTTCTTTTTTTGTAAACAAATCTTTACCAAAATAGTGTAAAACAATGCCAAACAAATGTCGAACAGTAAAATTTACCGTTCAGTAACACTTTTTCCTTAATCCTTGACGAATCAAAGCTGTGTCAAAGAAATGGAGGAGTAAAAAAATAAATATACCCAATGATTTCTTCTCTCTCCATTAATGCAACTCTGGGGTTTGCTTGTTCTCTTCTGCTTCAATAAATACCTGCTCTGAACACTAGGTCCCAACCATTGGTATTGAGAACTGTCTTTGTCAATATGACAATTGATTTTGTAAGATTCTCCGACTACTTACAAAAAATTATCCAAAAATATACTCCCTATACGCAGTAGCTTATTAATGGTTGTGAAAGATCTAAAAAATCATCTGGCCTAGATACCTAGGAAAAGGTTCCAACTTCGGGTTCAACTTCAAATAATGACTTGAAATCAAACTGTGTACTCTTAAATTGGGTTATGTACCCGGCGAGCACTCGGCGAGTACTCGATGAGTACCGACAATTTCGATGGTGACCCTGCCGATTAGCTACTTAACTCAGTCTGTACAAGTACAAGTACAAGCAGCAGCACAAGCCACTTAGGCGCAGACAAATACAAGAATTCAAAGCAGAAGGGAGAATGTGAATGCATCATAGTCTGCACACATGCTGTTTGATATTAATTTAGATTACATGGAAGTGGAAGAGGAAGAACAAGTGGGAATCTGACTACTAAAGATCTATTTGGAGAAGATCTATTTGGGGACACGGGGAAGAAGAAGAAAATCACAACCTTGAACCGAATGAAGATTAATATCGGACCAAATTTATTAGACGATTGATTTTCTTGAAAACTTAGAATGTTTATGACTTTTGCCACTTCATCATTAGGATTTTTATCTTTTTATTCATTTCTATGTATTCTAAGACAATTTTAAGACTATTATATTTCTGTCATCTCGGGCACCTATCTTATAAAATTTAATTAATACAGGGTGGAGTAATCATCGAGTAATCCCGAGTGATCGGTCCTACTCGCTACTCGACCCTTGATCGAGTTGCTACCGAGTAGTGAGTTAACTATCTAGCTCTTAGAACTACCTACTCATCTTCCCAAATAACTGTGTGATCCGTTCGTGCTTATTAATGATATCTTGCCCAAGGATTGGGCTTTCAATAATAAAATCACCTCAATTCACACATTTGATCAACTATTGGGTGACTTTTACACCCTTACAACCTACAAGTTATACGGGGAGCATGTTTTTTGGCGAACATGTCACATGAGTACGTGGTCTAGTTAGGGATATATACTCAACTGATCCAATACAATTTCGTTACACTAATAATCGAAGATTTTTAAAACTTGATTAAATATACTGGTCTAGTTATGGATATTTCCTACCTATGCCCATGGATGAGTAGGTAGTATCTACGGGTGTGTTTGGGAGCTTGAGGGTGAGGGAAGGGGAAGGCTTTGAAAGGGAGTAGAGAGAAGGGGAGGGGAGGGAGATGGGAAGGGATTCATCCCTCTTATTTGGGAGTTCCAAATTTCAAAAAAGGAAGGTTTGGGGACTTGAAGGGTTTCAGCGGCGGAAAAATGAAGCTAGTAACACCTCATAAAGATTTTATGCAGAAGCGGTTTTAGTTTCAGAGAATAAATCTCTCCTTTGTGTAGCTAGACCTTATAAAACCCTAAAATCCCTAAAATCGGGGAATTAGAAAACACATGTTTTGGAGGATTTAGAAGGATTTTATAACACCCCAAAACATTTCTATCATATATTATTTAAATTCCCAAACACAAATAGGATGATTTATTTCCCTCACACGCCTTCCCCTCCCCTCCAAAAACAACTCCCAAAAACACCCTAAGAGTTTCATAATGCTGATATACAGAAATTTATTAAATATAGAGAAATTTGCAGATTTAATATCATAAGTTATGTATGTGTTTATTATTAATTCTATAATTTTATACTTTCCTAGTGATTTTTCTGTGGAAAATGGTATTGGTTTCTAAGGGTTTTCACAGGCGTTTTCACATGAGACATGCTGTCCAGTTGTAAAGCTGATTTACCATTGTGCTTGTTCTCTTTATTGAGCGTGTATATATGCAGTTACCACTGGGCTGGTTGATGCCTTCTTTTGTTTGTCATTTACAAGAGTCTTTGTATGGTTTACACCAAGTCCCATGTGCTTGGCATCATGCCTCTGCTTGACTCTTACTATCTATAGTTTTAGCCAAATCCACCATTGATGTTTCTCTTCACCTATCATCCCAACTCCGCATCCATATATAATCCATATTTTGTTATAGGCGGACGATGTTATTTAGGAAATTCCTAAAATAGGGACATAATATGTTCAAAGCTCAAAGACAATAAAACTTATTTTGAGGACCGGATGGGTTCTACTTTGAGAAGAAAACAGTAGTGGTGTTATTGGAGGAGAAAATGAAAACAATAGTGGTGTTATTTGAGGAGAAATGGAAACAATAGTGGTGTTATTTGAGGAAAAAATGTCACTATGTATGTCGTGGTCCTCTTTAGAGAATTTTCTTGTGTTATTCTTAGTTGTTCGCGATCCAACTCCATCTCGCACGTTATATCTCTACGTTGTATTCTTCGACCTTAATCTTGTTTTTTGGAAGTCTAAAAAGCATAGCGGTGCTCTCCCGTTATCTGCTGAACTTGAGTATTCGTACATTAGTTAGTGTTGCTGCTGAGGTTTGCTGGACTAAACTGTTGTATCTAGATCTTTGTGTTGTATATCAGGCCTCCCTGTGGCTAGTTTGTGGTGATATCAATGCCAGATGATAGACTTTGCGTCCTGTGCTTCACTCCCTTATGAAACATATGACACAGCACTTTCATTTCTGAGATATTATAGAAAAAGAACTTTTTCATGTTTCTCAAGTTAATACTTTATCAGCCTGCCGCCATCTTTACCAAGTCACTTTCTCGTCTTCGGTTCAAGTTACTTAGCTCCAAAATATCCGTTGTAGACGCAACTCTGTCTGCTTCGTAATTTTGTTACCAATGTAATTCTTTTTTTCTTTTAATTTTGAGTATGAAATTTGTTATGATCATATTCAGATTTGATTTTTGAATTGTATTAGCATTAATATTAGAATTTTAACGTAATTTCTAAAGATCTGCAAATGTTAAACATTAATATTAATTTAAATATTATTACAAAACAATAACTTTATCATGAGTAAAACTTTGTGAAGTGTAAATGATTAAATATAATGGGATGGAGTGACAGACAGTGCAATACTTCTTTTATACCATTAAAAATGTTGTATATTTTCTAGTTTATTGACTTTCTTCTCAAAAACCTCACGATGTAAGTTGTAACATTACCATTTGATCAAGGCAATACAATATTCAGTAATGTCTTATCATTCTAAAATCTACATGCCTTACCCTTCCTGGATCCTACTTCCTGCTAGGATTGATCGGTTTGCTTAGGATTTTCTTAAGTATAACATGATATCAGGAATTACGGAGTATAACATAATATCCTTTAAGATTCTTATTTATATTGATAATACTGAAGATTTGGATACTTCATTTTTGTGCTGCTCTAATTTAAAATTAATTATACAGTGGTGATCCAACCATGTATGAGAGCTACTGGAAACAGATGGGAGATAAGACCACAGTTGTGTTTTCTGGTTGGCAATCCATTAGTTACTTTTCAGATGGTGGAAACCTTTGCTGGTTCATGGAGCCAGATTTTGCAAATGCAGTAAAGAGATTGCACAATGTAGTTGGAAATGCTGCCACTGAGAATTATCATATTGTTGTCGGAACAGGATCTACTCAACTCTACCAGGCGGTTTTATATGCTCTATGCCCGCCAGACACTCCCGAACCCATAAGTGTTGTGTCGGCCGCACCTTTTTATTCAGTGAGTCAAATTTAAATCTTATTGGGGTTCTATGGTTGAACTTGAAAATGCATGAATCTTCTATGTTCGTGTTATCCACTTTATAATGACAGCAGAGCTAACATGATCTTCTGTATCAATAAAAGTTGAAGGGTATGAAGACACAGTCTAAATGAAGGGTATGATAAAAGTTGCATTTTTGAGACGTATAAAAACCGACTATATATGTTAGGAGCGTGTGATATGATGAAAAATTGTGAGTTCGAAATGGGATGTCTAACTGTGAGAGTGTTGAAGAGTTTGTCATAAGCAACTACATATAAAATAAAAAACCAACATATAAGACATTGGGCGATTATTTCGAAAAATCAGGTTGACGTTGAACTACTCAGTACTCAGCTCAAGTTTAAGTTATGTATGAATAATGAATGCTTACAATTCATTGCAGCACTATCCAATGGCAACCGATTGCGTGAAGTCCGGGCTCCATAAGTGGGAAGGAGATGCCAGTACATTTAACAAGAACAGCAAGCCTTACGTGGAGCTGGTGACATCACCCAACAATCCAGATGGATCAACAAGACAAGCTGTTGTAAATGGATCTGGACTGTTAGTTCATGACCTGGCATACTATTGGCCTCAATATACTCCAATTACTTATCGGGCTGAAAATGACATAATGCTGTTTACTGTCTCCAAATGCACAGGCCATGCTGGGACTCGCATTGGGTACGTGTGTTGCTCACCTCAACACCTAATTTTATTTCGCAAAAGATCTTTTTTGTTCAGTTTTTCTGATGTCGTATGTCGATTCATGCTAGCCGTACCCAAACTCGTTCGGGATTAATGCCTTTGGGTATTGCATTCTGTTTATATTTTCTGCTTTTTTAAATAAACAAAATTCAGAAAATCAGAAGAAATTGTTTTCAGTTCTCTCTTTTGGCAATTTAAAAAATTAACAACATTATAAGGTTTATGGTTATTTTGATTCATTATCATAAAACTTATATGATATACATTCAGAACTATAAAACAACAAATTCACAACTGACATCGATATCGAACTAGACCTTAACTATTGGATTTAACTGCATGTTCCCAAGTTTTTTTACATGGTATATTTCAGCTGAAAATCTAAGATTAAACTATAAGACCAACATCATGAAATGCATATAATAGACGAACAAGATTTGAGTGCATGAATTGTTAACAGTAAATAAATAAATGTGACCCTTACATTTTATTTACAATTTAATTGATTTGACATATAATAGGGGTATAATTACAGTCATAAATATCTGTGTAAGTGAAGCTTTGAAGTTGTTTTTGGGAAGGAGGGAGTATATTCTAATTGAGAAGCTAGAGCAAGTTTCTTTCTGTTTTTCTATAGTTGGGCTCTTGTTAAAGATGAAAAAGTTGCAAAAAGGATGACAAAATTCATGGAGATAGTTAGCATTGGTGTCTCAAAGGAGTCACAGCTACGAGCTGCAAAGATTATGAACGTCATTTCCGATGGATACAAGGACAACGAGAAGTATAACAACAACAAGCTGCCCTTCTTCAAGTACGGCTATGAGGAATTAGGAAGGCGGTGGGGAAAGCTGAGAGCAGCTGTGAACAATGGAAACGTTTTCAGCCTACCCAACTTTCCTCTTGGGAAGTGCAACTTTAGTGGTCATGAGTTTGAGACTCAACCAGGTGGGCATAATAATCACAATTTAGCTATCCCATCGTCTTTTGGACCTTAAGTTTCTCATGTTTCTTGGCTTTCTGCTTTGTAGCTTTTGCATGGATGAAATGTGAGGGGGAAATCAATGATTGTGAGGGCTTCCTTAAGAAGCACAAGATCTTGAGCAGAGGCGGGAAGCATTTTGGTTCCAGCTCAAAATATGTCAGGGTTAGTGTGATCAGTACGGAGGAACATTTCGATGAATTTATACGTAGAATGGACGTCATCAACTCTTCGGGCATGTAGTTCAATCACCAACAGTTTTTCAGTAGCTAGCTGATAGATGATGCCAAGTAGTTAATGTAAAAGAGCATATCACATATGGCCATCCAGGCCAGGCCAGTACATCACATTGCCTGCATGCTCACTGTAATCCAATGAAAGGTGTTTATGTAGGTGAAGTAGTTAGTTGCTTCATTTCACATTTACACTTTACCACATTGCCAGAGACTATTCCATTCTTCCTAATTATGCATCTTAGAGTGTGTATGCATAGTATAAGTATGATCACCAGTGTAATCTAATGCATAAGTAATATACAGCTAAACTATTTTAGGAACCAGTTGATATCTAAAAGAAAAGTTTTAAACTGACTTGTTTGTGTTTCTTTAATTTGTATACTGAAGAAAACAAATCAAGATGGACACAGCAGTAAGAAAACAAACAAATAATAAAAGTGGTGTTGATCAATGAAAAATAACAAAAAATATTGAATTCCACAAATTTTAGAATTGCACTAAATTCTAAATGACCACTATTGAGAGTTTAGAGAATTTTAAAAAAAATCACTTGTCCCCAACTAAGAATCATATATTTTCCATTAAGTTCTAGTTTTTCTCAATTTTTTTTTGGATTTCTTAAATGGTGTATTCCCTCAAACCTAAAATACCATTATATACATTCTTATCAAAATTGGGCTATTTATATTCAGATTCTCATGAATTTCATTGAATTGTATTGGAATTAGATATAAATGGTGGGTCCCAATTAAAATCCATGGCCTGTAATTTTTTGAAAATGCTTGATACTTCGTATTATATACTAGAAAACCCCTCTTAAGTAACCTAAATATATACTGAGAAGCGGGAGAGATGTCTATCAATCACCTCATACTTGAGTTTAGGGATGAACTGGAATGGGACTGTCTGACCCGACACTGTACAGGCCTGACCCGGCCCAGCCCGGCCGGGCGGTACCGGGACTCCAGGAGTGGGGGCTTGAATCGGGTAAGAATGGGACGGGCCTCCGGCTCCATAAATCGTGGACCGGTCCAGGTCCAATTATTATTATTTTTTTAAATTTTTGGGAAGTCATTAAAGAACTAAATTTGAACCCACAACCCAAAACCCTAGTCCCGTCCAATCCGGGCCCGGTCCCGGTCCACTCCTTCTTGAGTTCCCTTCCATTGCGGGAGGTATCGAGTGCAAGTCATTAAAGAACTAAATTTGAATGTTTTCTAAAATATTTAATGAGGTGTGAGGTTGTGAGGTGCTTCTAGCTTAAGTGGTCACTTAATAAGTTCTTTATCTCAACTCAAACACAGGTATGAGAGTTAACTTGCTGTTGAAAATCTAATGGGCTGTGTTAGAGCTGTGTTACGAACTCATGGGCATGCTTAATCAGGATTCACTTGAGGGTGAATTCTTGTTGCAAAGATGTATAGACAACATCGGGAACATGAAGGATTGTTCGAGCAACTTGTGTTTTACTCTCTCAAGGGTCTACGGTGGATATTAAGAATTTATGATTAGTTCGCCGAAGTATGAATCACGGCGTATTAACATGCTAGTTTAATAAAGCGCGTTGCGCGTTCGTGGTAATGCCCAAGACCAATGTAGAAACAACAATGTCTAATTTAAGGTTTAGTGAAAATATAAGTAATATGATTACAACAGTTGAATACATAATTTGTTATTCATCGATAAAGAATCATAAACAATAAAGTATTTATAGCTAGGCTAGAATATATGTGAGAAAATAAAGCAGTAAAGATGATTATAATAATCATAATAAGAGAGATTCACATGAAATAGTAGCATGTATTTGTGTTGTTATATGAAAACACACATAACAAACACAAAAATGTTTTGGTGGGAGAAATAGTCAAATATATATTGTGTTGTAGCGCTTGAAGAAAATTTAAAGCAAAAGTTATAGGAAAATAGTTGGAGTAATAGAAGTAGTGGGAAATATGATAAATAATTATGAGGTGAAGGGAGGATGAATTCATCACAACTGTGGCTGGTTTTGCTCACAGTTGGCATACTTGTTTTTTTTTTATTTGAGGAGTAATAAGAGATAAAATGCCCATTACTGCTTATCTAACTTAGCTCATAAATCTAAACCAAAGTATAAAACTGTATTAACCAAAAAACTTATTCATAGATGAAAGTTAATTTAAGATAAAAGAAGAAATATTACTCTAAAATCTCATAAATGATAATCCAGCAAAAAGAATAAGCGTCTCTCATTTGTTTCAAGTAAACACTCATAATATAGGAATGAAGTAACTGAACAGTTCTTGCGATGACTAATATGCAAACTGGAGTATTCTGTAGATATTTTCCATGACAAATAACAAGCTATAAAACCTAATAACTAAAATGATCTTATCATCTTCTGTTTTTGATTGATTGCTATTGTGTCTTATTCTCTTAACCAATTAGTTGTCTTTTTTCTTCAGCAATCTTGCAAATTGGACTGAAAAGTTTCTTACTTACCAGTTTTATCTCTTTTAATTAATGTATTCGTTCAAAAAAATTGGATGCATCGGTTTGCCAATGAGGTTGGCAATAGACAGAAGCGCTCTTCTGTCTTGTAGATGGACCAGAAGTCCAGGTAGGTTGATCCAAGTATTGGTGATGGGGGATTCCTTCCCTGGCTGAAAATCAGTGGTCCATTTGGAGACCCTCACAATTAACCAATTAACAGACCATGTTTCCCTTAAACAGCATCGTAGGAAGTCCTCTTCTCTTTGAAAATGGATGAGAATGTTTCTAGGGGCCAGCGGTGCTATATTATGGCAACCTTTAAAATGAATTTTGTTAAATGTACTTCAAACCATTGCCAGTTTGGGGATTCCATGAAGGAATGTCCCTATGAGTGCGAAGTTCATTTCTTTAGCCAAGGAGACAATTTCTTCTTCTGAAAAAGAAACTGCCGGCATTCTGTTGAGACGTGAAGGCTGTTTAAAGGGAAAGGATGGGTTAGGCTGTTTGAGGATCTCCGCGAAAGATCTTGGGTGGTGGTTAGTGTCTGTCTGTGGCTGTTTGTAGGAGTAGGTGCCTCTGGGGTTGACAGTTCGGCCGGCGTTCAGTTGTTGGGCCGGTGTGGTTGTGATTACCGTAGCTTTGTCTGCTGCTGTGGATGAAAGAGCTGCCGCATAAGAGACTTTAAGAGACGGTGCTGGGATTGAGCTGTAGTTTTGGGCTGACGTAGTTGTTGCTGCAGTTTCTGGAACGCTGGAGATGTTCTGGTTGTTCTTCGTCTGCTGCTGTGTCGGTTGGGTTCCAATCTGCTGCGTGCGTAGTTGTGCCGGCTCAGCCATGGCCGGCTGTGGGAGGGGTGGGAGGTGGTGGTTAGGCTAGGGGAAAGGAATGTTTTTTATCTGGGAACTTTGAATTTTTTAATCTTTTTCAATACAATGCATGTTTTCTAGGAAGTTTGAATTTCAAGTATCTCATTAAGTCAACTCTAAATATGGATTACGATGAATAGAACAAATGGAAATATCTTCTTTCAAAAAAAAAAGGAACATATGGAAATATCTAATCAATATTAAAAGAAATATGTAGAGGAAAGATATAATACAACACAGTAGTTCGAATACAATTAGATAGAGAGTATTGAGGAAGGGTGCAGACTGCAGAAGCATTTTTGCATTGATTTCTTTTGTTTGGGATTGCAAAAGTTGGTTGCTATTATTTTGCCATTAATAAGATTGCTTTCTCACTATTGTATTTATCTCCAATAAAATTTTGGAGTGTTTAATTACTAAAAAGGAGCTATTGTGTATTATTTGCTGAAGTAATACAAAAAATTAAAGCTTTAAGGAGTACTTATCTCTTCAGGTTTTAGCAGCAGAGTGCTTAAATTCAGCAAATTCTGGTTAGAAATTACACTTTGTAGAGTTGTTCAATTCTACCAATCATTTAATATGGTTGGAGAAAAGAGCCTAAAAGGCTCAAAGTGTCCTAAACAAAGCTCAAAAGCCCCCTGGAAGATAAACACAACACTTGTCTTTACTACAGATCACAATCAAACCTAAGTTTAGGCAATTACCATCAACACATTAAGACACTTTTTAGACCCTTTTTAAAAATGTTGGTATATTCATAAAGAAGATTTTTTTCCATTGTTCATTTATGTGGGTTAAAATAATGAAAAAGATTATGAGCTCTGAAGGCATCCTTACAAGATACATGTTCTACAAATCTGAAGCACTCTAGGCGTGTATTTAAGCAACAATTAAAAACTAATAAAAAGCAACAATTAATAGTTAGGCTTTTGAAGGGCTTAGAAGGGGTTGGCCTTTAACTTAACATCAATCTCTCTATATGAAACTAAGTACTCCGTACTAAGTAGCACTTGACAGCTAGTTGCATAATGACTCACAGTTTCCAAAAAGAAAAAAATGGGGAAGCATCAAATATAAATGGCATAAACCATAATAAGGCCACAAGCAGCTTAACTATTGCAAGTGGAATCAAAATATGTTGTTCATTCAACATTTTTTTTTAAATTTTAGATGCAAGAAATGCTTTCCCGTATTCTTCTGTTCCGTTTACGGTACGCCAACCTACATTTAGTGTACGGTACGCCAACCGTATTGTCCACGGTAAATGTACGCCAGCTTACGTTTAACCAATACACAATTTGTATATGCTTTCATCTAAAAATGTTGAACTATTTCCAGAACTGATATGGGATTTCTTATAAAACAATTGGCTGAGAGCAACAACATGGTCACAACGTCTTAAACAGTTAAGCCAATAATAGCCCATAGTTAGTTAATTACATATATGTGGTTCACTTTGATACAATACTCTTATCAAAAATGAGTTGGTCAAGCAGATAGACTATTCACTACTAAATTCAGAAAGCAAACATATATTA